CTATAAAAGCGGAACTAGACCCTATGTAAAGGAGGTTAGTGAATACATTTATAAAACCCTAACTGAGTCTTGGCCCACATCCTCACTCACCTTCACCTGGAACCTCCACCCAGGCAAGGCCCCATTATAATCCACCTGTCGAAAACCTAGTTTTCCAACGTAATACAAATTTGGTACTATTAGATTTGTAATCAAATAACCTATTCAATAATCATGAATAATATAATATAAAATAAATAAAAGTATAATTTAGGAGACCATGTCAAGTTAGAGTGAATAGATATATAGCACTGAGCACCAAAAGCGTCACACATGACACGATGCTCTGGTTGTTGGGTGCTGGGTTTCTTTATAATTTCTGCAGTGAGCGAGCATTCGGTGCAGCGTCTAAACTTCAGTGTTGAAGACAATATTGTTTCTGTGCTTCCAACAAAAGAAAACCAGCACCCAATAAGCAGCCTGAATGTATTACCGTTCTTGTCGAATGGGAATGGGGAATCTCCCCGTGTCCAAAAAAAATAAGCAGCCTGAAGACTTCAAAGTCCGTGTTTGGAGGGGAGGGGGGTTGTAATGTAACTATGTGAGGCGGGCAGGGGATGCAGTGATGAAGACCTTTCCAGCTTCCACAACAGTCGATCATGATTCGAATATTTTGGTAAACACATATGGATTCCAAATATTCATAGATCGATGCGTACTATATAATACTGAAATATACTACTACGAAACAGCTAGCTACCGGACAATACGCTGACAGGCCACATGGTTACTTGAATAATAATCTCTCCATGGCATGCTGCAGTTGACCCGTCGACCAAACCACCTCACCTCGACACCAAAATCTCAACTTCTCGTAGCAATCCATCGTCCGCGCAGGAGCTGGCATCGTCTTGTGGTTCCTCCTTTCTTGCTTAGCTTGCGGATCGACAGGACCTGCACGTTTAATTTCTCCAGCTTGTTGGTGAGTAATAAGCATGTATTTCTACTAGCTAGATAGTTTCCTGATCCAGTAGGCTGTGGCTGTGGCACTAGGAGCATCAGCTACTATTGCTTGCATTGGTCAATTGGTGGCTTCCGCTAATTGTGTTGGTGTGGTTGTGGTTTTCACTCCCTCTACCCAGATGCATCATACTCGGATATACAGATCTTCCGTTCCGGTGGGTCGTTCCTTATTATAGTTTCTTCTTCCTTGCGAACGTACAGCAACATGGGATCTATCGGTTGCTAGTCCCTGGAGCTAGCACCGAGTGTGTGTTCCCAAAACTACTTGGGAACAATCAAATTGTTCTGCTCGCTCGTTTCTCCGATCCAGGCAGTGACTCGGATATACGTTGATCCGCCGACAAAAACACCTCACCTCCACCGAAATCTCGACTTCTTCCTCGTGACGCCATCCATCTATCGTCCGATCCGCGCCGGCGCTGGCATCGTCTTGTTCTTCCTTTGTTGCTTAGCTTGTTTCCTCCAGCTTATTGGTGAGTAAGCATGTACTATATTTGCTTTGCATTATATCGGTGGGATCCGCTAATGGTGGTTGTGCTTTTCGATCTCCCTCGATCTATGCAGACCGCAGACGCATCATATATATACATACGCGGATAGATCTTCCGTTCCGGCGGGCCAGTGGCTGCACACCAACAGATCGAGGGCAACATGGGATCTCTCGGCTAGTCTCGCTGGACTTAGCACCGATTGTGAATTGTGTTGCCAAAACTACTTGGGAACGATCAAATTCTTCACCTCGCTCGTTTCTCCAATCCAGACAGTGAGTAAACAAGATCTTTTACATAGCTAGTTTTCGCGATCCACCAGTAAACAGAAGCACCTGCAGTATATATCGTCTAGGCATTGTCTGGAGTCTGGACACTACCTTATTGATGCTAAATAAACAAGCCCACATGACTTGAGCACACATCGTGGAACCTGCAAAACCACACGCTGCAATGTCTCTACAAAACCAAATAAACCCTCTGCTTCAGAAGCTACTGGACACTCAGGATTTCACGGGTTTGCAGAAAAAAACCAAGTAGAAGTAGCGCTAGCTTGCCCGGTGGAATGCACGTCAGGGCATCATATCTTAGGTTTTGGTCAAAACATTAAATAAGTTTTGGGCGTTTTGAGGTGGTTTAATTTCTAGCACCATATGGACCTATCTCCACAAAAACATGGCATGCGAGAGCATCGAAAGAGAAAAGATTGACCATACAAGTTTTTTTTTTTTGGCTGGGTGCTTAGCAATTAGCAACACCGGTCCTGACAAGTAAATCCATGTATGCATTTCTTATTGTTGCTGCTAGTAGTTACCCAAAACATGTCACACTGAAGGCTGACAGCTTTAGTCAGCAGCACCTTGCCTCAATGCTGGCTCCAGCCCTAATTACAGTTGGTTCTTTGTTACTCCCTCCATTTCAAAGTGTTATACAATCCATTCTGCCCTCCCTAGCAGAAGAAAATCATGTGCTATTACTCACTAATCATGCTACCTAACCAGCATCGGCAGTCAGACACGCTTGCTTGCGTGGCGCCGGCGCCTCACCCGCTCTCCTTGTGGATTAGGGAAGAGCTGTCGCATTGCCTCTACATGCGAGGGGTTGAACTGGTCGACGAAGATACTATCGTAGGCGTTCTTGGCTGCCGTGGTCGTCTGTTCGTCGAGGATCCCCATCCGCTTCATCATCAGCACCTCTCCCGGCTTAGAACCAGGGACGCGTGCGTGAAAGTGCCTAGGCGACGATCCTCCTGCTACGGGTTGGCAACTTTGGTTGTGCCTGCACAATCGGCCAAGGGAGCAGCGGCGATGGCGCCTTACGCAAGATCTTGTCGGTGAAGCGCTTGAGCCTCTTGGCGGCAGAGCTCCCGCTATCAGCCGGACGGGGAGGGGTTGCCACGTCGGCGCCTGGGGGGATGGCGCCGGAGTCTGGGCTTGCCTCGGTAACCACGACACCGTGTTGTCCCTACCAGGGTGGCGTGACATGTGGCGACCGCTGCACAGGCGACAACGAAGGTGAGTCCATCGTCCACAAGAGAGCCTTCGCCGGTGAACGGTTGTCCACCAACGATGCTTCATCTTCCTAAGAGGTGGCCGTAGCAGGCGGGCACCCTGGTCCTGCAGTGCAGGCTGGGAGACGACGAGCGAGGCAGCGAACTCCTCTAGCATTGGGTCGACCCACGCGGGAGGCCCCGCGCTCGCCCATAGCTCCAACACTAGCGGATCCAGCTAGGGGAAGCAAAGTGCAGCATCAGAGGTAGCAGCGCTGTCGTCATGGTCGATAGGCGCACCCACGCTGCTGTCCTCTGTCATCTCGCTCTAGCGTCGCCAGTGTCGTCGTCGGACTCTGCAGGCACTCCACACGACACCCTGCGCGGCCCCATCCAAGCGCGGTGGAGAGCTGTGGGGTGCGTGCTAGGAGGCCGTTGGGCCATGGGGCGCGTGCTAGGAGATCGTTGGGTTGCCACCACGAGCGGGCATGGGCCGCTTGCAGTCCCTAGCGAGGTGACGGAAGCTGTGGCAGCACAGGCAACGCCGGACAATTGGCAAGTCGCTACTCAGTGCGACTAGGAGAGGCAGTTGAAGCATCTGCCATGAAGCTCTGCGGGGATCTTCTGGGCCTATGGAAGCTGCTTTGGACCACGGCGAGGCTCAACCAAGGCGGCCGTAGGGTCCTGTCTCCTGCTGGGGGAGGATTTCAAGCCACCCATAGGCATTGGGGATGGAGACCCGTCCACGGTGGCCAAGGCGTTGGCGGGCAGGGACATGGCCATCCATGGGACGAGCAGGCATGCCGCACAGCAGCTATGGGCGCGGCCGGCTACGCTTCCTCCACCTCCGGCCAGGTCCCTTCTGGCCAGGGTCGGCTCCACCGTGGCCCATAACCGCGACAGGGCAAACCTGGGCGCTTGCGGTTGGCGCACTGACCGCCTTCGTCGGGCGACGAGCGACGTCCAGGTAGGTTGTGCGGTGGTCGTCGTCGGACTCGTCGCCACCGTCGTCCACCCACCAGCAGCGTATGGATCACCCACCCTAGACTGGGTAGAAAGGAGCCGCGTCCGGTGAAAGGGGGGAGCTAGGGGTGGCTCGTGGTGGCACGGCGGCAGGATGATGGGACAGCGTCCCCGGAGGTGGCTGCACCTACCCAGTCCCCGTCACGACCGACGGTCACCGTCCGGCGCAGGCGGCGGCATGTAAGGTCGGATCGGCCTGCACGCGGCCCCCGCGGCGGTCACGGTAGGCCCGGCGGCGGCTCTGCGAGGGCTGCTTTGCTAGAGGTGGTGGCTGCCACGGTGGGGTCTGGCGTCATCGCGCTCACGGTGGGGTGGGGGAGGGCGGCTGCTGCAGAGGAGGTGGTGGCCACCGTGATGGGGATGAGGCGCTACTGCAGCTATTGGAGATGGAGATGGCAGCCGTGGAAGCGGGGCCAGACGTCGGCACATCGTCGGGCGGTGCTCGTCGCCGAGATCCCACAAGGTGGGCTCATTGGTGGCAGCAGGCGCAGGGCCGAGATCCCACGAAGGCTCACCGCGCTGGTTGTCGCGGGGTGTCGGGTGTGGCGGGGAGGGGAGGAGGGGGTGGGCGCGCTCTTGGCTGGCGTGGTGGCAAGCGTCGCCAGATTCGCCGCCTAGGGTTACGCTACTCGTGGGCGTGGGCCTCATTGTTTTTACAATATTGCCGAGTGCACGGGTTCTAGATACATAGGTGTTTGCTATGCACTTAGATATACACTATGTCTAGATACATAATAAAGGCAATGCATCTAGAAATGTCAAAATGTCTTATAATTTGGAATGTAGCGAGTACGTTTTAGCAGATCGGACGAAGTAATATACATGCTGGGATGTTGTGAAAAAAAGAATATATATGCTGGGAGAGCCTGGGGCCGCTCATATCATTTTTTTATGAAAGGCCACCCATATCATTAATCAGAATACCCTAATAACAATCTCTGTTTAACACAAGTATTAAACATAATTTTCCCTCTAAAGCAGGTTCCGCGTAAATAGGAATGGACAGCCGTGAGATATTGGAGTTGGAGAACAAGCTTCTTGATCCGACCACAGAAGAACCAATTTCTCTACCCCTACACTTTTTGAGATCGATAACAAATGATTTTAGCAATGAGCAAGAACTCGGGAGGGGTGGGTACGGAGTGGTTTACAAGGTAAATATGATGAATTCTTTCTCGCTCCAACTCACAAATAAAAATGTTGGCAGCCATATTTAATCACAATTACTCTATGTAGGGACGACTTCTCTACCATGGCGATTCATTTATTGCTGTGAAGAAGTTTCATGATAGTCATGTAGTGAATGGTGATGAACAGTTCCAGAAAGTGGCCACTTCTCTTATCAAACACCCAAATGTAACACAACTCCTAGGTTACTGTTCAGAATCAAAGGGAGAGATGATCAAGCTACCGAACGGGAAATATGTTATTGCTGATAAACAGACAAGAATTCTCTGCTTCGAGTATATGTGTAATGAAGGCCTTGATAAGCATCTTTCAGGTACGTTTCAGAAACACGGGATGAGGGACATACATTTATCATCTCCCTATTTTTTTCTCATTTTCTCAAGTTTAAATTGTTAGAACACACCTTGTAGCCACAATCAGCAGAACACTGAAATATGTTACCTGCACCCAAAAAAGGTTGTTCTAGTTCGAGTCCAAATATCTTAGATTTAAACAAGTATAGTATACAATAAACATCTTAAATAAATAAATAAATATATTGCCTCAATATTTATAGTACTAAATAAGATCCATCATGAAATATATCTTGATAGTATCTCTATTTGGTGTTATAAATGTTGATAGTCTTCTTTATAAATTTGGTCAAACTTAAATTGACTATCTAACTAGAATAACTTTGTTTTTGGACGAGCTAGAAACTAGATATTACTATTACTGCTACTCAACCACACAAAATGTGTTTCATTGCTCTTCTTATTAAGCATGGATGACAAGATTAATTATGTCAAGAAAAAGTATTTCTACAGATGAATCTTCCGGTCTTGAGTGGAACACGAGATACAAGATAATTAAGGGAATTTGCCACGGTTTGAATTTCCTTCATGGGTATAATATTATTCATCTGGATCTTAAACCTCAAAATATATTAATGGATGCTACTATGATGCCAAAATTATGGATTTTGATTTGTCAAGGTTGTTGGGTGAACAAAAATCCCAGACTGTCACTAAAACTGCAAATCCCCCCGGAACCAGGTAAGCTACACCCCACAACAAATACCGTTTGCTTTCTTAGTAATATATTAATGGTCTCAATTATGCTTGCACCATCTCAAACTCTTGATGTCTACTGCAGGGGATACATGGCACCAGAATACATAGACAGGGGTGTAATCTCAAAGAAAGCAGATATATTCAGTTTGGGTGTCATAATTATAGAGATACTCAAAGGCTGCAAGGACGACTATCCAGACTATGGCCAAAGCACCGAAGTTTTCCAGCACTTCACAGAGAAAGTAATAAGATGAAGTAACGAATATTCTGCATGTGTACTATCGCTCTAGCTCACTTATTATATATGCAATTGTGTAGGTGCTCAGTAATTGGAGGAACAGATTCGAAAGATCATCGAAGTATACATCGCCAGAACTACATACCCAGCTAGTAAAACAATGCATCAACATAGCTTTGGAATGTGTGCACCCTGAGAAGGAGAAAAGGCCAAATGTATCAAATATAATTGAAATTCTTAATGCAGCAGAAGGAAGTTGTGTTCAAAATGGTGAAGATTTACTGGTAGATCACCAGGTATGATACTCTCTCCATCTCCAAATAAATCAATTCCAAGAATCCGTTCAAGTTAAACTATCTTAAGTTTGACTAAACTTTATAGCAAAGAGTAACAACATCTATGAAATAAATGAGCATATTATAAAAATATATTCTATGGTATATCTAGTGATAATAATTTGAAAATATATTCTATGGTATATCTAGTGATAATAATTTGATGTGATAAATCTTGACAGTTTTTTTTAGAAATTCGGTCAAAGTTTAAAATTTTTTACTTAAGACAACTCTAGGAATCTGTTTATTTAGGGACAGAGGGAGTATCTTATATCCCATTGAGTATGCGGCCCTTTCTGCACTTTATTGCAATATTAGACGTGAAAAGTGTCCTACAATTTTGGAATATGCTATTATAGATGCAAATGTGGAAGCTCAACTATTTCTTGAGATACCAATCAACATGAAGGTTAACTTTTTAAGAAGAAAAAAAATCACTTGATATGCTTGTAATGAATGATATGTTTCTTTAGTGAAACCCGACAGATAATGTGGGAAATATCCATAAATAACATTTCATTTTCATTGTTTTTAGTTATAGATGCAAACCGGCAGCTCAACTATTTCTTAAGATACCAATCACATGAAGGTTAACTTTCTAAGAAAAAATAAGAACCTTAATACCACCAGGCTCACTTTGTAAGATGAAGAGAAAACAATCCCATTTTATTCTTATCATCTTACACTATAGACTTCTACGATGAACATTCAATCGCACACTGACATAATAATGGCAAATTATTGTTCCGCTGGTTACACTACTAGATTAATATAAGCCTCACCTTATTATTCTAGGCTTCCTTAGGGTAATCAAGTATATTGATGTTATCTAGGTGGTTTCATTGAGTATCATGTAACGTTAGAATATAGTATCCCTAGTTATGTGTAATAGCCTCGGGTCTTTGAAAAGGATATATTGTGAGTATGGCATCGTTATGCACCGTATTAAGAAAAATTTACACAAATCTAGTAGAAAACCCTAAATCGACCTCAAATTCTATAAGCACAACTCCAAAAGACTACAAGCGGTTGTTGCTCTCTTACTGCTCAACTTGACACACTTTAGGACATACTGATTCTTGCCCTTTATAAGAATCTAGTGCAATAAAATTGTCTAGCCTAATCCTCTTGAGTGCTCTTAATTGCTTCTTACAAGCATTGGATGGAACTCTTATGTTGGCTTGGTTGATACCTATGGCACCTTGTTTATATAGTCTCTTCCAAGGCTCTCAGACATGCAAGCAGGAGACACTCAAGTCATAATAGAATTACAACCCTAATAGCACACCTCTCTTGAGTCCCAGTCCAAGTAGAATTTGAATCATCATACAACACATAATATGAAGATGACTTAGTAGGCAAGCCATACAATGGGTTGTCTCTTAAGTTCAATTGTAAAACAACTGCATATTTCTCTCATGTTCATCTCTATCCTTCATATTATTTAAAATTCTATGTAGCACAGCATGAAACAAGCTATGAGATTGATGACGTGTATCAACGCAATTTCCTTTAAAAGTGAAACCACATCAAGTACCTCCTAGAAACAGGTGTAGTACCCCCTCCATTCATAAATGTACATAATTTTAGCATTTAAAATTTGTCTAAAATTTAAGCAATCCTGCTATTATCCACCCATCCCTTCTCATCATTAATTAGCATATCTTTTAATTACTACTACGGTGTAATTTGGATATTTTAATTTTAATTTGTGTATGCAAATTATAACATCTCGATAGAAAATGTAGTGATAATTATGACTTAAATAATATTATGGTACTCTTACTTCCTTTATATGATAGGATTTGAAAATACCAGTGGTTTGTTTTTTGCCTATGGGTTTAATTTCTTTTAGCAAAGTATTGATAGTGTCTATTACCACTTAAAAAACGCGACGAGCTTTTGTCCATAGAGGTACATCGTGTATCGCTTCGTCCCCAATAAAAAAACGTATCTATTATACGGCAAAAAAATGTTCCCAAAATAAAAACATATACTGCAAAAAAAACCACCGTTCCCTTTTTTGCGTTTCTAATATACATTTATATGGCAAAAAAAGACTCCAAAATAAAAGCATATGCGGCAAAAAACCACCGTAAAAAAAACATGTTCCCGTTTGGAAAAAAAAGATCCTATATAGCAAAAAACGTTTACGAAAAAAAAAGACATATATGGAAAAAAGTTGTTTCGAAACAAACTCTTCCACATCAAAAATCATATACGACCAAAAAAATACATTTAGGAAAAAACTCTTCCACATCGAAAATCATATAAAGAACTGATTACGAGGCCGATGAAACAAATCGGGCACATATTCAAACAGAGGAATTCAGCAAGGCTTTTATTGATGACAACAAAAAGATCATGCACATATTCATACACGTGAAATCTTTCTTTGTCACCGATTTAAAGCAGATCATGCACATATTAATGCACTGAGACAAATTAGAGGAATAAACTCTCTCTCGTGCGAAAATAAATTAATCTCCTAAAATCAAATAAAACTGTTTTAATAAGATAAAAGAAGTTTATCTAAAGTAGACATATGCAAATAACAATTCCTTCAAATTCACCTTAGATAGCTGTGGTGAACACGGTGTTGCACTATAAAATGGATTTAATCGATTTCAAGTGATCATGTCAAGATCACTATTCATACTTCACTTGACACGCGGTCGTAAGTGTTCTACCCGGGTTCGATACGAAGACCAAATCTATGTGTCCGTGTCTGATACGAAGTCTTCAAACCTCACGCGTTCTCGTCCGACCCGATTCTATTACAAAGACAAAATCTATGTATTCGCATCCAATACAAAGTCCTCATAGCTCACAATTCGTGCAACGCACGGGCATTATCTAGTATTGTAATAAAAAGTAAAGTCTGATTTCCCCGCTAAAATTGACATCGAATTTAAAAACACCTCAAACTAAATACCGAATGACATCTCCCTTAATTTTCAAAACCGGACAAATCATAACCCCTAAAATAGTTTAGAGTGGTTTCAATGTTGGTTTTAGTTCATGTGTCATATGTGACATGTGGGCCGCACATGTATTTAGTTTTTTAACCATGTCGTCTTTTATTAAACATTTGGACTCCTAAATGATCTCAAATGTTGAGCACTACAAATTAGGGATAGAGCATTTCTCCATCTGAGAACTAAAAAAAATGGGAAAAATAAAAAATGTTCATAATTAGAGAGCTAAAACACTAAAGAAACCACTTTGCAATGGTCAAGGGGTATTTTGTCCGGTTTTAAAAGTTAAGATATGTATTTATCGACATTGAAGTTTAAGTAAGGTGGTCTTTCAAATTCAAGTACTAGTTTAGGGGTGAATCGGACTTTACTCTAAAAAAGCGGTGGACATAATATTACTTGACTTTTGAAATCCCCATACACATATATAGTATGTCGCTTTAGAAAAAGAAACACAGGAAGTATATTTCGTGGCCTTTAATATCTGTGACAAGCTAAGGTGCGATAAGTCTAACTGTTTCTTGCATAATTATTCATAGATTGGAGCCGGGAAGGGTACTGCAACCGGATGTGCAGCGTGAGGACGGCTTGATGGATCACCGACCAGCGTGGATCACAAAAGGCATAATGAAATCGCATTTGCACCACTCCAACCACAACGCGAGCCAGTTTTGGAAAGTGTGGATGGTTCGCTTTGTTATCAAGGGTCACGAAATGCATCATTTTGGGTGGCGCACAAGGCGTTGGCTTCCTTAGAGGACAACCCGCTCAAGGACCCTGGGCAGCCACCATCAACCTTGGCCCGGGCGGCCACGGCCCTCCAGCCTAGAGCTGCTATCGTCAAAGCGATTCTTGAGTCCACCCTCAAGCAGGTGATACACAACTCGGCGCTTGAGCACTGTCTAATGATGCTTCAAGACCTCGTATATGACGCCGAGGATGTGGTGGACGAGATGGAATACTTTCACATCCAAGACATTGGGACGCCACCAAACATGCCGAAGGTTGCGCCCACAACTGGACCTTAATGTGTCCCTTGCTCACCTCAGTCATCTTTTCATGATGATGAAAACTATAACTATGATGTTGATGATGATGATAATGGTGAATATGATGATGATGATGATGATGATAATGATGGTGAATATGATGATGGATGATGATGATGATGATGATGATGATGATGATGATAACAACAACGAGAACTATAACTATGATGATGATGACAACAATTCACCAGAGTTGCCATCCGTTCATGATGAACCACCAAAGTTGAGATTTGATAGGGACAATGCCTCCGAAGAATAGAACATATTGTAGAGCAAATGCAGCTCATTGAAAAGAAGTTCTCTAGTGCTATTAAACTATTAGGTTCTAACCGAGCACCGCCCCAAACATTGCACAAAGTCGCCCCATCACCATCTCTCGAAAGTATAGAGCCAAAACTGTATGGGAGGGAGCTTATGGTGAAGAGCATCATAGATGATATCACAAAGGGTAAACATTCGGTGAGGTCCTCACGAGTTATTCCAATTATTGGTCCAGGGGCATAGGAAAGACAACTGTTGCACAAACATATATATCAAAGTGGAGAGGTGCAAAAACATTTTGATGTAAAAGTTTGGACATGTGTCTCACTCAACTTTAATGTGAATAAGTGATAGAAGAGATTCAAAGATATATCCCTAAAGATGATCATGAAAGTTGTAATGGTGCTGCTAGTGAGTTGATTGGGCAAAGATTGAAAAATAAGAGGTTTTTGCTTGTATTAGATGATATATGGGACTGCTTTGTGATGAGGATGAATGGAAACAATTGCTTGGTGCCATTCAGAAAATCACAAGTCTTGGGTAATATAATTATAGTCACAACTCGATTTCCAAAGACAAGCACACATAATGGTTCGGAAAATGATCATTCAATATATTTGCAAGGTCTAGATAGTGAACCATTTGAGGAATTACTCCTAAATATTATCTTTGGTGATGATGATCAATCTAGAAAGGACCATATATTCTTGCTTGAAATTGGGATTATGATATTTGGTAGACTAAAGGGCTCCCCCTCTTGCAAAAAAAACTGTTGGTAGATTGTTGAAAACCCAACTTGACTTGGTTCACTGGACTAGAGTCTTAGAAAGTAAGCAATGGGAGCATAGCAGTGTAAGAATGACATTATGCCCTTGCATGAAGTTGAGCTTTGATTACTTACGCCCTCAGCTTCAGTGATGTTTTTCTCCCATCGTGCTTTGTTTCCTCAAGATTACAGATTTGAAGGAGAAGAGCTAATTAACTTCGGATAGGACAAGAAGCTTTGCATTATTCACCACATGGTGAAAGTAAAAGAGTTGAAGATATCGGGCTAAGTCATTTGACTGAGTTGGTTAATTATGGATTTTGGAAGATGAAGGGGAAAAGGATGGAAGAACTTGTTACATCATTCATGATCTCTTACATGAATTAGCACGAAAAGTTTCATCACTTGAATGCCTTAGCATAGACACTCAATCTCAAGTGAGCTCCTTACAAATCCCGACATCAATCCGCCACTTGTCTATCAACATAGATGATACCCGGTGTCAACAATAGATTGACACAAAAAATTGTGTGGAGGATATCAATACATTGCACACAAGATTAAAAGTTGAAAAACGCAAACTTTGATGATATTTGGGAAACACCACGGTTGCTTTGTGAAGGCTTTTGGTGATTTATTTAGGGAAGCAAAAGGCCCTTCGTGTTATTTTTCTATCGAAGCATCCTATGATCTGGAATATTTGTTCAAGCAACTTTTATAGTCTACTCCATCTTCGCTACCTTGGATTGAATGTTCTTCTCAATATAAAGCCAGATTTCCCAATAAAATTTCTAGATTTCATCACATGATGGTCCTAGATGCAAAACACTGTGACATCATAGATCTACCAAGAGATGTCAGCAACCTTGTAAAATTGCGCCATCTTCTTGTTCAAGATGATACAATACACTCTAGCATCACTGAGGTTGGGAAACTAAAATCATTACAAGAGTTGAGAAGATTTGTGGTCAAACAAGATCATCAAGGTTTTGAATTAAGGCAGATAGGACATTTGGAAGAGCTCCATGGATCACTGTGCATTGATAGTCTTGAAAAAGTTCATGTACCGGAAGAAGCAGATGAAGCAAAATTGATGTTGAAAAGCCACTTACATGAGTTGATACTACGTTGGAATATTAATTGGCATGCCGATGATTTTGCACTCCAAAAACATGTTCTTGAAAGGCTTAAGCCAAATCGCAATCTTCGAAAGTTATCCATTATAGGGCACGGAGGAGGCACTTGCCCTTCATGGTCGAGTATGAACCTCTCACTCAGTAGTCTGAAATCTCTCTGCCTACATGATGTAAACTGGAAAACATTTCCACCTATTGGAGATTTGTGGTTAGTAAATGTGCCCCGTGAGGAAATCTCAATCAATATCCCTGAGAAGAGGTTTGGAAATTTGAGAAGGCTGGAACTTATACACTTGTCGGGGTTGAAACGTGGGCTGTACATGCCCCTTGTCAATTGTTTCCTTATTTGGAAGTGCTTATCATTAGGGATTGCTCTCAACTTGTGGAATTGTCGCCAGCATTCTGCTGGTTGTTGTCAACAAGGAAAGATGCAAATGACAATTTATTTCCTAGACTGAAGGAGCTCAAGATTAAGAGATGTCCACAACTATTGTCATTTGCACCCATTCCTTGGACTGAAGCTCCGTGCTACATTAAAATAACAGGAATTTCATCTCTTGATAAATTGGTTTATGGAAAAGAATATAGTTATTTGACCATTGAGGGAAATAATAAGGATACAAATGATAGCACGGTTTGGGATGTGCTAGCTTTTCATAATCTAACTGGACTAGAGGACTTGTACCTGTACCGGTGCCAATCTCTGCCACTGCATTACTTACAAATACTATCATCCCTAAGGACCCTACATATGTCTTATCTCGAGTAATGTCTTTCCACTTGTTGAAAGTTGACAGCCATGTCAAATACCAGTTTCCAGTTGAATCGCTGGCCATCAGGGGCGAGGGGAGTGCTAGTGGGAAAGAGTTGACACAGCTACTTGTCTACTTCCCAAACCTCTCAGATCTGAAGCTGTGGTTCTGTGCAAAGGTAACAGGGCTGGCTGTGAATGTGAGGGGACAGCACGCAACAGAGACGCCCGGAACAACAACTTCAGCTAACAAAGAGGATCAGCAGCAGGATGCAAGAGCAAATGTCGACGTAATAGTCGCATCAGAAGAAGCAGAACATGGCCTATTGATTTTGCCTCCCCAACTGCAGGACCTGGAGATCCATGGCAGCCCAAAGCTGCGACTCCTTGGCTCCAATCCACATGACGACAGCAACAAAGATGGACGAACTGGGCAAGGAGGAGGGCTCTGGGGTCTAAGCTCCCTCCGAAGGCTGGAAATCGAGGATTGCCCTGAGCTCCTGTCCTCATACTCGTCTTCATCCTTCTCTTCTTCTTTCCCTTGCCCAACTCCCTGGAACACCTTAACATTTCAGGAGCGATCGGCACGGGGCTGAACTGCCTCTATCAAACCTCACTGCTCTCACAAGTTTATCCATATACCGATGTGGGGATTTAAGAGGCGAGGGATTGTGGTCTCTCCTCGCCCAAGGCCATCTCAAAGAATTATTTGTTCGAGGAAACCCCAATTTTTTTGTTGATTCCGAACAGGAGATTCCATCCTGTTCCTCAAAACTGCAGAGGCTCGACATAGATGATGTGTCTGGATTCACTGCTGCGGCCATTCGTCATAGCCTGCTCTTTTCCTCGCTCACCGTATTGAGTATTTGTGGGGATTACAAGGTGAAGAGCTTCACAGAGGAGCAAGAGGCCCTTCTGTTTGTCGACTCCCTCGGGGATATCACATTTATTTGCTGCCACAACCTGCAGTCCCTCCCTGAACGGCTACCTAGACATCCCAACCTCAAGAGGTTACACATCTGGGCGTGCGGAGCAATCCAGATGCTGCCCAAGGAGGGCCTCCCAAGTTCACTGCAAGAGTTGTATATCAGAGAATGTCCAAAAATCCAGTCACTGCCCAAGGTGGATGACCTTCCAAGCTCCCTGCGATATTTAAATGTCCGTGAAAGCGGAAGCGAGGAGCTAAGGAGACAGTGCCGCAAGTTGATAAATATCATTCCAATAGTCGAAGTCTGACAAACCCAAAGGTAACAAAGAGGTGGAACTTCCCACCCATCAATTTCCCTTGCTTCTCCCTAACCCCATAAACCTCCGTCATTCTTGTTTCGTTTATTTGGCCACAATTGATGTTTTCTTCTAGGTAATCCGCTTGTTTCCATCTGCTGTGCAGGGCATTTCTTCATATTGTGTATTATTGTCCTCTGGATTCTCTCTCTATCTATTCACAATTTTCAATTATAATAATCTCTGCACATGCCTTCCACCCTATACATCAAACTGGTAAGTGCCTGTGAAACCACCTCTGTAGTCTCATACTGTCATACAGCTATTTACATGTTCACAATGTTGCTTATTTGATGCTTGACCCAGTTATTTATGCACTTATTAATGCCTTTTGTTTTGTGTGTAACAATAACCTATATACGTTCTCGATCAGGTGAATATGTTTAATGTACTCCTGCCTTGCAGTTCTGAATCTCAGACGATTTATTGAAATACGGATGCTGCTGTATGTTTTTTTTTCTAATCAATGGTCTGCACTCTTATGAAAGCCTGTTCAGCAATAAATGGTTTCAGCCTTCCCATGTCTCTTGGATCTGAGAAAATATGATTGCTCTACTTCTAGTCTTCTAGGCAAGGTAATAACCACATTTCATAAAGTATGCTCTGTTTACGTTGAACATAATTGTATATACTCATTCCCCTGCAATCCAATAATGCATAATAGTGCAACCTGCTTGTTTTCATCTACTATGCAGGGCACTTCTTCATATTGTCCATTATTCTATCCTTCGGATTCTCTTTATATATTTACAATTCTGAATTCTAAAGAATGAATACCTCT